CTGCCTTGGCCTCCCAAAGTGCTGGGATTACAGGCATGAGCCACTGCACCCAGCCTGTATGGCATTTTTATCGTCACTAATATATAACGGGTGGAAATGGAAAGCAATAGGAACAGTGACTGATACAGAATAAGTACTCAATTGATGGTGACTAATACTGGTAACTTACATCCTCTGCTGTATTTAATCCGCAACAATACTAGGCTGTGCTCAGAAGAGCAAATGTTTCAATAGGCCAAGTGAGTGAGTTGGCCTGAAGGACTGTGCTCTCTTCCCTTTCTGCACTGGCCATTTGACTGGCAAATTCAAACCAAGAACCCGGTCCCGTGCCTCGGTTACGACATGCTCACAGGCCAAGGGCTGATCATAAGGTCATTTACCAAGCCCTGGGTGGCTCACTTTCCTAGGGTGGAGCCCTTTAACCACAGGATGACTTGGAGAACCTGACCCTACATGTTGCCTGGATTACAACTAGCCCCCATGCCTTAGGATTCTGTATCACAGTTGCTTCCGTTCTCTTACCTGGGAAATAAGTTGGGCTTCCTTTACATGAACAAAAGGAAGATCTTTCTTGAATGCAGACAAACATGTTTCCAGGACTACTCTGCAGGAACAGTTTCTGAGAGGGACTACAACTCCTCAAAAACTGTGCTTTTCAGGCCATGAAGGAATGCACCTGCAGCCTCATGAATTCCCTGGGTGAACCTCAAGCAAACTCTGCTCACCTGCTTAATGTCAATCTTCTTTAACCGTGGCTACATCTGAAGCCTTCACAAAGCTGAATTTGCAGCTTCAGTTCTGTTGATTCTGGGTCAGATCTGATCCTGCATGAACATGAGCCTGTCAGAAGAGCCTTGGCCAAGTGGAATATTATGGCTGTCCTTGAATATTTGCCACTTCCAGAATTTTTGAGTATTACACCAGACAATTCATGGACTGTCATTGACCCATCAGACAAACGTGCTGAAGTAGATGGAAAATATCATACACCTGCAGGACATACTCTTTCAATCATTATCTACTTGGAAGGGTATTACACCTGGGTAACTCTCCGAAACAAACCTTTAACAACAGCTGACTTAAAACACAGACAGAAAGCAATAGCCATCCAAATGCTGTCTGAGCTTCGCTTTGCTGCTGGGACTTAAGATTTTGGAGGCAGTTTGGTCCAGTCATTCTCAAACTGTAATAAACACACAAAACACTGAAAGTATTATTAACACGTGATTCTCAATCCATAGGTCTGGGATTGAGTGTATGCCTCTATGCACACCCCCTGCCCGCCCGCTCATGTTCTCCCTTACTCCCCAGCCCTTGAAGGGGTTTGAGTGTATAAAGCACTCATTCACATATTGAAACTGGGCTTCAACTCTGCTCCCTCCTCAGATTTGGCACACTACTGTAATTTTCTCTAACCCAGGTTAGTGAACCCGAATCCCACTTCTCTCAACGTGCATTCCTCAGACCAATTCTGGCACTTGTTAGAAATGCAAATTCTTATGCCGCAAACCAAACCCTGACAATTAGAAACCTGGGATGGAGCCTGCACAGTTTAACAAGCCCCCAGGTGATACTAATGCCCACTCAAGTGAGGAAACAACTGCCCTTGCCAGAGGGATATACTAGAACAAAGTAGAACCACTGGAGAAAAGCAAACACTATATCCAAAAAATGGGGAAATTAAATTATGCAGTTAAATTGTAATTAAAATGAACATGGCTTGAGCAATACAACACGTTTCTGATTCAGAAAAAACGTTTTATAAGCATTTATAACAGAGGAGTGATGGACTAGACAGGGTTGGCAGGTGAGGAGGAAGAGGCTGGAGATATGTAACATTTCTACTTACATAAGAGAAGGTAGCTTCAGCCACTGGTAAAACGGGCAGCAAAAATCTGTAGAGGAGATTCTGGTGGCAGAGTATGTTCAGGGAATATGGCCTTCTAAGTTCCACTTATATATACTGAGGCTGAGAATTGTAAAGAGAAGATACATCAGGTCATTCAAAATACAAGTACATGTATCTAGAAGTTATGTAAAACGTGCTTTGTGTTCCATGAAAAGGGGAGATACAGATGCGCCAGAGGAATATTTTATAAAAACGTAGTTTTCTGTACACTGACAAAGATTCTTTGCTTGATCAAACTTTAGTCAGGCACCTGAACCTTCTCTGGTCCGTGCACTTCCCTTGTGAAATCCAGCTTTAGCAAGAACCTCCTTACTTTTGATATCTGATCTCCCTTAAGATCTTACCAGGTTCAGGGGCCCGGCGAGGTGGCTCACGCCTGTAGTCCCAGCACTTTGGGAGGCCGAGACCATCCTGGCTAACACGGTGAAGCCCCGTCTCTACTGAAAATACAAAAAATTAGCCGGGCGTGTTGGCCCGTGCCTGTAGTCCCAGCCACTCCGGAGGCTGAGGCAGGAGAATGGCGTGAACTCGGGAGGCGGAGCTTGCAGTGAGCCGAGACGGCACCACCGCACTCCAGCCTGGGGGATAGAGCGAGACTCCATCTCAAAAAAACAAAACCAAACAAACAAACAAAAATATCTTACCAGGTTCATCATCCTGCACCATTCCCCCAAGTGCTGTTTGATCACCCTGGCCTGTCTTCAGCAAAAATCCTTTTAGGCTGGTTTCGCCATAATCCCCCTAACCGTTGAGGTTTCTCCTCGGTAAGTTTCCATTCACAGACCTCCCAGCCTGCTCTTTGGTTATAAACTCCCACTTGCCCAGGCTGTATTCAGAGTTAGCCCAATCTCTATCTGTAGAGGTCCCTGTATCTATCCCCATGGTGACCCTTACCTTGCTTTAACAAGCATAATTGAATAATTTTTTTTTTTTTTTTTTTGAGACGCAGTCTCGCTCTGTCGCCCAGGCTGGCGTGCAGTGGTGCAATCTCGGCTCACTGCAAGCTCCCCCTCCCGGGTTCACACCGTTCTCCTGCCTCAGCCTCCTGAGTAGCTGGGACCACAGGCACCCGTCACCACGCCCGGCTAATTTGTTGTATTTTTAGTAGAAACGGGGTTTCACCTTGTTAGCCAGGATGGTCTCGATCTCCTGACCTCGTGATCCACCTGCCTTGGCCTCCCAAAGTGCTGGAATTACAGGCATGAGCCACCGCGCCCGGCAACTGAATAATTTTTTAATGCACACACATAAAATAAACCAAACAGCTATATGTTTTATTTATATTTTTTATGTTATATGTTATATATATGTTTGCACATGTATGTTATGCAAAATCCATACCATCTTTTAAGATAAAATATGTGGTACTGTGGCAAATTTGCTGTGCTTCTCTGGCCTCTGTCCATTAGAAACATTTTGCTAGAAAAGTGACAGGATAGAATCAAAAGCAAATTCAATATACACATATGCACACACAGATATGTACTTTATAAGAGGAGTCTCATTAAAATAAATTCTACCCTCAAACTTACTGAAAAATATTTAAAGTATTTTGAAAATCTATTAAAGACAACACAATATTTTAAAAGTAAGGCACGTGAACAAATTTGCCCATAAATGATTTTTGTAACCATAAAATTCATGTAAAACGATGTTTGTATTGTTCTACATAAAACCACGTGCTCTCTTTAGGTCACATTTGTAAAGCCAGAACTAAAAGAAAAAAGTCTAAAATTAATAGGGAAAGTAGGATCCTTTAAAATCTTATTTTATAGGGTCCATTGTTAAGACTGTAGAGGAACATTTATGTTTTTTAAAAAACTAAATCCACAACATAAACATGAGAGAACATAAAAAAAAATAGGGAACACGGGCTTCCCGCGGCCGCGGAAAATAACCCTGAGGAGCAGCACCAACATCCTCACTGCGCACCGCAGCGCAGACCAGGGCGGGTTTGGCCCCTGCGAGCGGCCACTGGCCCCGACACGTCACCTTCCCAGAATACCCAGGGGCGAGCCGGCCGCGCTGAAATGATGGCGTATTTCCTGCAAGCTGCTGCAATAGTGGTGGGTAGGAGGAAAGCTCCCTCATTTTCACCAGGCGGTAGGCATGGAACATCCCCTGAAACCTTATGCAGTCATCTTGGTTTTTCTTCCCTAGCCTCAAAAAATACTTCAAAACTACTAAATTCCTCCTTCAGGAGAGTCTAGGAATAGGAGTTTTAAAATAATTAAGACAACATAACATCTACTATAAAACATACATCCATGTAAAAAGCATTTGATCCAGAAGGAACTAAATCATTGATGGAGAAAAAAAATGACATCATAGATCTCAAAGGAAATGTTAGTTTCTTCTATTCCTACTTACCTGGAAATTTATGGCCTTTAAAAGCTGATTCTGAGAGGTGAAGCCAGCTGGACTTCCTGGGTCGGGTGGGGACTTGGAGAACTTTTCTGTCTTACAAGAGGTTTGTAAAATGCACCAATCAGTGCTGTGTAAAAACGCACCAACTGATGCTCTGTAGCTAGCTAGAGGTTTGTAAAATGGACCAATCAGCACTCTGTAAAATGGACCAGTCAGCACTCTGCAAAATGGACCAATCAGCAGGATATGGGTGGAGACAAATAAGGGAATAAAAGCTGGCCACTCCACCCCAACCACCAGGGGCAACGTGCTGTGGTTCCCTTTCATGCTGTGGAAGTTTTGTTCTTTCCTTCTTCACAATAAATCTTGTTGCTGCTCACTCTTCAGGTCCCTGCCACCTTTAAGAGTTGTAACACTCACTGCGAACGTTCTCAACTTCGTTCCTGAAGTCAGCGAGACCACAAACCCACCCAGACACAATTCTCAATTAAAATTTCAAACGTGGTGCATACTACTTCCTGAACAAATGCTGCAACCTAATTTAATACTGTTACCATTATATGATCTACCTATAATCCATGTACACATATACTATGAAGCATACGTAGAAACAAACACCAAAGTATATATGTATATATATTTTTTTCTTTTTTTCTAGAGACGAGGTCTGGTTCTATTGCATGGCCTGGAGTGCAGTGTTACAATCACTGCTCACTGAAAACTTGAGTTTCTGGGCTCAAGTGATCCTCCTGCCTTAGCCTCCTAAGTAACTGGGAGTACAGGCTGAGTCACTAAGCTTATATACCTATCTGATCTCTCTCAATATCTCTCTGTCCCTTCCCCCCACTTTCCCCCAAGTTTTTAAATTTTTTCACCTTGAAACATTAACCCACATTGCTCCTTAAAAGAATAAGTCACTAAAGGCCAGACGTGGTGGCTCATGCCTGTAATCCCAGCACTTTGGGAGGCCAAGGTGGGTGGATAACAAGGTCAGGAGCTTGAGACCAACCTGGCCAATGTAGTGAAACCCCATCTCTACTAAAAATACAAAAATTAGCTGGGCGTGGTGGCAGGTGCCTGTAATCCTAGGTACTCGGGAGGCGGAGGCAGGAGAATCACTTGAATCCAGGAGGCAGAGGTTGCAGTGAGCCGAGATTGCACCATTGCACTCTAGCCTGGGCAGCAGAGTGAGACTCCATCTCAAAAAAGTCAACCTGGCCGAAAAAACCCACAATGTGTGTTTATAATCAGATGTATATCTCTGATTATTCAAGGAATAAAAAACTATAGAACTAGCTGAATATCATTCCTAAATTTGTCACAAGGAGTTTTATAATTTTGGAATTATTCCCTGCCACCCCTTAAAATTTTTATAACAGCAACATTCTTCTACAATTACATAGATTTTTAAAAAGTCAAATTACAAATTAAAAGGTGAGGAATGTATAGTTTTGGGAACAATTTGTTATATTGTCAGGCTTATGTTGTATAATGCAACAAATAAAAGTTTATGCTATATTTTTGTAAGATGAAATCAGAACATCAACACTAGGAAAACAGATTGATTGGAAAATAACGTCAAGTTGGAAGAGAGCTTCGTTGGAGAAAAGGGAGCATAATGTATACAGGAGGGATGACAAAGTTTCTCTGCTTAACCAAAATTTACTCAGGCTTCTCCTCCACCCATCTGTGGACCTCATTATAAAATCTAGTTTTAACATGGAAGCCTGTTTACCAAGGACTCTCTTCTCGGCCAGGCAAGGTGGCTCACCCCTGTAATCCCAGCACCTTGGGAGGCCGAGGCGGGCAGATCACGAGGTCCATGGCAAAAACAAAAGGTTGGTGGAGGAAAGAAGATAGGGGTAACATGTCCCACATAACTTCAAACCCAACAAGGCCAACAAAATTTAATCTTGAGGTGTGAGAATCAGCTTTTTTGATTCTACCTCTCACCTTACAGAGACACTAGGGTAGGGCTTAGGTTCCCAAGCCTCCAGGGGACTCTGCTGCCATGACTGCTGGAGTCAGCCCACGCCACAGTTCTGCAGGTTGTAGTCAGGTGTCTATGTCTATCACAGGTTGGAATTATGCACTAGTGAATCATAGGTCTGGGTCTGGGAACTCAGGGGTGGCCCTGCCCACATGGCTCAACTGAGTATTGCCCTAGTGAGGGCACTCTGTGGTGGCCCCAACCCAACAGTTCTGCTGGACGTTGCCCTGGTGGGAACTTTCTATGGCAGCCCTGCCCCTATAGCAGTTCTCTGATTGGGCCCTGAGGCATTCTTCAAGGCTTCCTCGGAAATTAGGTGGAGAAAGCCATGCCTTCACAGCTGTAGATTTAGCATGCCGGCAGTTAGCACCGCATGGGAGCTGCCCCATGTTTGGCTCCTTGTGTTTTCTGGAGGAGTGATCTGAGCTGTACCTGGGCCCACTTGAACCACAGATGGGGAAGCTGGGGAACGCTTTGCTTGACTTCAGGGAGGAGATACATGAAGCAGCATAGTCACTGAGCCCCAAGTTCCCACAGGCATCCTGGGTTTCACTGGGACCCTGGGATCCTTCCTTAAAATTGTTATTCCCTCAAGGACCTGGCACTTGAGTCTGTGATGGTTGTGGCATCCTCAGTGTTCTCCGAAATGTCTTCAGGGTCACCCTCCCATTGTGTTAATGAATAGTATCTGGTGTCCTAGTCATACTAACCTCCTTATCAAATGGTCAGTTGGCCACACAGTTGGTTTTCTCTCCTGAACACATTTTAAAAATTCTTCAGAAGGCCAGGCTGTTAATTTTCCAAATCTTTATGTTCAACTTCCCTTTAACAATAATTTTCTTTGGCCCTTTCTGGCAGGGACGACCTACCCATGAGAACACGTCTCTTGCAAAGGATCTCCTTCATCCCTCTCCAGAAGAGGAGAAGAGGAAACACAAGAAGAAACGCCTGGTGCAGAGCCCCAATTCCTACTTCCTGGATGTGAAATCCCCAGGATGCTATAAAATCACCACGGTCCTTAGCCATGCACAAATGGTAGTTTTGTATGTTGGCTGCTGCACTGTCCTCTGCCAGCCTACAGGAGGAAAAGCAAGGCTTACAGAAGGATGTTCCTTTAGGAGGAAGCAGCACTAAAAGCACTCTGAATCAAGATTAGTGAGAAAGCATCTCAATAAACACATTTTGGATAAAATAATCATCATCATCATCATCATCTTTGGCCAGGCGAGGTGGCTCACACCTGTAGTCCCAGCACTTTGGGAGGCCGAGGTTGGTGAGTCACAAGGTCAGGAGTTCGAGACCAGCCTGGCCAATATGATGAAACCCCATCTCTACTAAAAATACAAAAATTAGCCGGGCATGGTGGCAGGCACCTGTAATCTCAGCTGCTTGGGAGGCTGAGTCAGGAGAATCACTTGAGCCCAGGAGGCAGAGGTTGCAGTGAGCCAAGATCGTGCCATCGCACTCCTGCCTGGGCAACAGAGCAAGACTCCATCTCAATAATAATAATAATAATAATAATCTTTTTTTTAAGATGGGGACTCACTCTGTTGCCCAGACTGTAGTATGATCATAGCTCATTGCAGCCTCGACCTCCTGTGCTCAAGCAACCCATCCCGGCTGATCTGTTTCCCTTCTGATTATAAGGTCTATCTTTTTTTTTTTTTTTTTTTTTTTGTCGGAGTTTTGCTCTTGTCACCCAGGCTGGAGTGCAGTGGTGTGATCTCAGCTCACTGCAAGCTCCACCTCCCGGGTTCACGCCATTCTCCTGCCTTAACCTCCCGAGTAGCTGGGACTACAGGTGCCCGCCACCAAGCCCAGCTAAGGTTTTATATTTTTAGTAGAGACAGGGTTTCACCCTGTTAGCCAGGATGGTCTCTATCTTCTGACCTCATGATCCGCCCACCTCAGCCTCCCAAAGTGCTGGGATTACAGGCGTGAACCACCATGCCCGGCCTACAAATTCTATCTTTAACTTGACTTTCTCTTCTCACAGTTTACTATAAGCATTTAAGAGAAGCCATGCAGTACCCTGAAAACTTGGCTTAGAGATTTCTTCTGCCAAATATCCTAGTTCATTGCTCGTACATTCTACCCTCCAAAAACTACTAAGACACAGAAATACCTCCACCAAGTTTGTGGCAGGCAGGCTCCCATTAGCAACCAGAACAGTCTGTTTCCACTGACCCTCTATTATAATTCTAATCAATGTATAATGTAAACATTAAAGAACTGGAGAAACTGGTGCCTGAGCGTAAGGGCTGGAACATTAAAATAAACCCACTAAGTCCTCGCCTGGGCTTTCATAGCCTAAAGTCTGGTTGAATAATAAAAGAATTTTACACATATACCTTGTTCCAGGTACCCACTTAAGATTAAAAAGCTTTCCAAGACTCTAGAGAAAGATTTCCAGACCCTAGGCCCTACTTAAAGATAAGGCATAGATTGAAGGAAACGCTCCTCTTTGGAGATGCCATTCCACTCGTAGCATGGAGCTTAGAATGTATATAAGCACTAAAAAAAACTTGTAACTTTGCGTTGGTATGGCGAATTCCTCCAGCCTTCTCCCTGTAACCAGCTGCAGAAATAAACTCCCTTCTTTCCCAGACCTTGTTCTTTCCAGGAACAAATCCTCCACCGTTTTGTAACAAGGATGGCTTTTCCTCTAGTTTCCAATAAGATATTCCTCATTTCCATCTAAGACTTCATCAGAATGGCCTTTACTGTCTATATTGTTTCCAACATTCTGTTCACAACCACCTAGATAATCTCAAAGATGGAGGCTTTCTCTATGGCTTTTCATCTTCTTCTGAAACCTCACCAGAATCGCCTTAATGCATGGCAAACTAGGCTTCTTCTAGCGTGCACTTCCAAACTCTCCTCCAGCCTCTACCCATTACCCAGCTCCAAAGCAGCCTCTACATTTTTAGGTATTTGTTATAGCAACACCGCCACTTCTCAGTACCAATTTCTATCTTAGTCAATTGTGCTGCTAAGCATAATATCTGAGACTAGGAAATCTATAAAGAACAGAAATTTGTTTCTCACAGTTCTGGAAATCCAATTATGTCAATCCAATTATTATGCCATCAAGTCACTGGCATAATTGGTTAATTGGTGTCTGGTAAGGGCCGCTCTGTGCTTGCTTTCTTTTTTTTTTTTTAAATGGAGTTTGACTCTGTTGCCCAGGCTGGAGTACAGTGGTGCAATCTTGGCTCACTGCAACCTCCACCTCCCGGGTTCAAGTGATCAAGTGATTCTCCTGCCTCAGCCTCCTAAATAGCTGGGTTATAGGTGCCCGCCACCATGCCCAGTTAATTTTTGTATTTTTAGTAGAGACAGGGTTTCACTGCGTTGGCCAGGCTGCTCTCAAACTCCTGACATCGTGATCCGCCCACCTCGGCCTCCCAAAATGCTGGGATTACAAGCCTGAGCCACCACGCCTGGCCTACTCTGTGCTTTCAAGGTAGTGTCTTGGCCTGGCGTGGTGGCTCATGCCTATAGGGCCGGCATTTTGGGAGGCCAAGGTGAGAGGATCACTTGAGCCCAGGAGCTTAAGACCAGCCTGGACAACATACTATTGCACTGAAGATTACATTTCAACATGAATTTTATTTTATTTTTAATTTTTATTTTATTTTATTTATTTATTTTTTTGAGACAGAGTCTCGCTCTGTTGCCCAGGCTGGAGTGCATTGGCATGATCTCAGCTCACTGCAAGCTCCGCCTCCTGGGTTCACGCCATTCTCCTGCCTCAACCTCCAGAGTAGCTGGGCCTACAGGCGCCCGCCACCACGCCCGGCTAATTTTTTTTGTATTTTTAGTAGAGATGGGGTTTTGCCGTGTTAGCCAGGATGGTCTTGAAATCCTGACCTTGTGATCCGCCTGCCTCAGCCTCCCAAAGTGCTGGGATTACAGGCGTGAGCCACCGCGCCCGGCCTCAACATGAATTTTTGAGAGGTCACCATCATTCGAATCACAGCAGTGAGGATTATTCCCTGGATACTTGGCCTAGAATTCTTTCCTTCTTGGCTTTCTTTCCTCTATAGGTATTCCCTGACTTCCTGGGCTGCAAATCTCTTATTCCTAGCTCTATTTAAGACCCCTCCATTGTCTGTATTGGATTCTGCTTCTCCCTTGGGATTTCTCTGTCATCTGAATCCCCTCTTCTCAAATCCCTGCTTACGATATGCTTTGCCGACTCTGTCCACCTCTTTCTTGGCATTATTTTACCCTTCGGTTCCCTTGCATCCTTTGATATTTCCCCCTTCAAGCCCCTACCTGCTTCATCGTTCCTCCCTCTGCCCTCCCCAGCCAGCCTTTTATCTCCTCCAGTACTGCAATCACTTGGTTTTTAGGGCCCTCTTCTCCTAAGGGACGGAAGATCCTGCAAAATCAACTACCTGAGTCAGAAAAGAAAAGAAAGCTAATTGGAAATAGACTGGATGACAATTGCTAGACGTCTGCTCAGCCATTCACCTAAAATTTAGTTAACGGCCTCCATAAGAATGACCTCTGATAATAGGCACTTACACCCCCTTGAGTCTCTGTAAATAATGCCCCCTAATGTGGCACTTCAGAAATTGAGATAATAGATGCAGGAAGCACACTCTTTTACCTCTTCCCCCTGAAGTGGGTCATAAAAGAATTCTCTGACCTGCCTCCCCTGAAAGTAGGTCATAAAATCCCCATTCAACAGGGGTCCTTCTCTATACCCAGAGACCAAGAAGAATCTGAACAGATCTTGCTAAGTTCCCCCCAGATTATTGCCACTAGGTCGTACCCATTTGTTTTCCAATCACACATTTGCATAGCTGTCTGTAAAAATAGATTTTTCCAGCCATGCTCGGTGGCTCATGTCTATAATCCCAGCACCTTGAGAGGTCAAGATGGGTGAATCAGTTGAGCTTGGGAGTTCAAGACCAGCCTGGGCAACAAGGCAAAACCCCATCTCTACAAAAACAAAACAAAACAAAACAAATATTAGCTGGGTGTGGTGGTGCCCACCTGTAGTCCCAGCTACTCGGGAGGCTGAGGTGGAGTATGGCTTGAGCCCAAGGAGGTGGAGGTTGAAGTGAGCTGAGATCATGTCACTGAACTCCAGCCAGGGTGACAAAGCCAGACCTTGTCTCGATCAAAAAAAAAAAAAAAAAAAAAAGAAACAACAACAACAAAAAAACAGGGTTCTCCCTGGTTCTTTTGGTCTTCATTTCTAAAAGCTCCCATGTCACATAATACTTTTAGTAACTCATTTGATATGATGTTTTCTTATTACTATGTCTTTTGTTATAGGGGTCTCACTCATTAACCTTGTAACAGGTGATGAAAATATATTACTTTTTTATTCCTACAATTTCAAATAAATCAGTTTGTGTCTGTTGCTGGGTGGGCCACTCAGGAAGTTCACCAGAACACTGGATGTCATCACCAAAGACATACGAACTGTAAACTAGGAAAACTCATTAGACTGTCACTGCCTTCCTAACTTCACCATCTAAAGACAAGCTCAAGTTTAAACAATCTTGACTGGTTGATCTCTGGACTCAGAAGCTGAGTTTACAGTTTATTCCAAATATTAATCTTTGTTTTTCTTTTATTTTCACATAAACTAAACTCCTCTCATTAAAAGCCTGACAGCTACGACCACCTAGCAGTTATCTTCTACCAAGTCCCAACAAATGTTACAGCTGGTTCTTAATGAACAAAAAGCAACTCAACAACAACAAATTGACTAACATTATTCAAATGAAAGAATGTGTCTTTTTTTTTTTTTTTTTTTGAGACGGAGTCTCGCTCCATTGCCCAGGCTGGAGAGCAGTGGCACAATCTGGGCTCACCGCAAGCTCTGCCTCCCGGGTTCAAGTGATTCTCCTGCCTCAGCCTCCTGAGCAGCTAGGACTACAGGGGCCTGCCACCACGCCCGGCTAATTTTTTGTATTTTTAGTAGAGACGGGGTTTCACCGAGTTAACCAGGATGGTCTCGATCTCCTGACCTCACGATCTGCCCGCCTTGGCCTCCTAAAGTGCTGGGATTACAGGCGTGAGCCACCGCGCCCGGCCATTTTTGTATTTTTAGTAGACACGGGGTTTCACCATGTTGGCCAGGCTGGTCTCAATACTCCTAACCTCAGGTGATCCACCCGCCTCAGCCTCCCATAGTGCTGGGATTACAGGCATTAGCCAC